GTAAAGAACTTCAGTTTTTTCTCTTTAAATAAAAACAGCTAAAGCAAACCTCACTTAATAATGTCCCCTGGAGTTATGCCAAGCATTGGCTAGGTGCTAAATCCTTCCTTGGTAACAATTTTGCAACTCTTTTTGGATAATTGCCTCCTCTTAAGGAAGTACGCTTCTTGCCAAACCACAGAATGAAAATTTATCATTTTAATATATATATCTTTTTCTGAGACTATAACTTCATTCCATTAAGCAAAAGAACATTTCCAATCAGGTGGTCACAAGTAAACTTCGTTTCTTACCATGGATTTCATTGTTTCTTTTTAAGGACAGGTTTGCTCTCCATGGTGTCACTTAGGTGAGTAAATCATATACATGTATACATTTTCTCCTACAGAACTAACTAGAAATAAGCTTCTTCACAGGATTGAAAAAGTGAATAGATGGTACTCTAGACAAGCTTTCATAACAGAGGAATTTGTAGCTGTATTTTATGGAATCCGTTTGGTAGATGATTTTATGGTTTATTTGTTTGTCTAAGTGTCTGTTTCAGTTAATCAAGTCTTTGAGGCCTCTAACCAAGGAACAGCTCCTCCTCCTTCCAACACACCATGTTTCCAAACTCCCACTCAGCTGACTCTGCCAGGAACTGTTTCTTCTCTTCCAGATGCCCAACAGTCTCCCTTTTGTAACAGTTCCTCCACTTGTAATTATTTGCTCCATGTCCATCTTCCTCACTGTTCTGTACATACAGGAGGACAGGAGCTGTTTTTGCTGTTCACCACTGTATCCCCGGTGTCTGTCACTTGCCTGCCATGTAATATATGTTCAATAAATGCTTTTTTGAATGAACCAGTAAGTTCTTAACTGCAGCTTCAAACTTCTAAGCTTAATTTACTGAACTTGGTTAAATGTAGAAGTCTGCACTTTCCTGGAGCCCCCGCCTTTCAGGAAGCGTTATCTCCAAGAATACAGAATAATTGGATTCTTCTGATAAAACAGTGTTGGGCAAACTGATTTCACACATATAGTACAGTGACCTTCAGGGTAAATCTTCTTCACTTATCTAGTAAAGGTGAGGATGTAGACTACTTCTGGGTTATTCTGACCTTTTCTCACCAGAATAATCCAAAGCACACAGTCGTTCAATCCATTCAGTCAAACGGGTATTTATTGGTCTACTACTACGTTAGTTTCCTAAGGCTGCTATAACAAATTATCATACACTAGGTGCTTAAAACAACAGAAATTTGTTCTCTCACGGTTATGGAGGCCAGAAGCACACCATCCCCTAAGGCTCTGGGAAAATCCTTCCTCGCCCCTTCCAGATTCTGGTGGCTCCAGGCCAGGCATCCCCTGGCTTGTGGCTGCATCACTCCAGCCTCTGCCTCTGTCTTCCCATGGCCTTCTCCTCTTTGTCTTCTCTTCTGTCTCTTATAAGGATGCTTGTCATTGGATTTGGGCCCACCTGGTTAATCGAGGATGAGTGAGATCCTTAACTTAATTATATCTGCAAATTCTTTTTTTGTTTGGGAGTGAGGGGAGGAGGTAGATGGGATGTCATCATTTAATTCACTGTAAAAACTGTAGTGAATAAAGTCCCTGCCCTCATGGAATTTGCAGTCTAACCAAAAGACAGATTGCGAAAAAAGTAACTTCAGTAAAACATGCTGGAAATTTGTAAGTAGTGGTAGTACAAGCATCTATGGAAACATGTCTGTGGACCTAACCAAATCTAGAAATCCAGAAAAAAGCTTCCCAAATGATGTGATGTTTACATAGGAGGATTGAATAGGACTTGACCATGAGAGAGAGTTTGGTGCATTGAAGGAACTGAAGAAACTCAGCGTGGTTAGAGACTGGTAAGAGATGGATCTGGAGACGGATGCTGGAGCCATTTGTAGAGCCTCTTGTTGACAAAATTACTGGCTTTGGGCTTTACCCTGAGATCAAGTCAGAGCTCTGTGATTGACTGGCACTAATATGATAAGAAGGCAGGAGTTACTCTGTCCAGACCAAGGCCTGGGGCATAGGTCTTAAGTGTTCCTCTTTTTTCCACATGGCAAATCTTGTTCTTCCCAATATTTCATTGTAGCCTTTATGGATAACACAATATCATAGTAAAATTGCTCTGAAATATTGTAATAAGGATATGTAATTCATCATTCTCATTTTTACAGACATGAAACCAAAGTAGTCAAGCAAGGCTGTGATTGTTCTAGGCTGCACAGAAGAGCTGGGTCTAGCCAGTTGTTCTGTTAGTGACAGTGGTGGTGTGAAATACTAGCAGTAGTGTGGGTCTGGAGCCTGACAAGTCGGGGCCGGATTGCCAGTTCTACTGTGTACACGATGTGTGGGCTTAAGGCAAGTAGTGCAACCACCTAAACTAGGAACAATAACAGTACTGACCTATTAAGGCTATTGTGCAGATAAACTTGGTGATGAATTTGTAGCACTGAGCATACTGCTGGAGGATAGTTTCCTATTAAATAAATAGTGACTGGTGATGATGAGGAGGAGGTTCATAATCATCCCAGCCCATCACTCACAGCATTTCACTCCCAGTACAATAGAGCATCACATTATACACTCTTATTTTCAAATGACTTATATATTGATATTTATTATATATCACAGAGGACTATTTAGGATTCCTAGTACACGGGTTTAAGAAACAATTACACAGGAATATGCATTTTTCAAAGTGTCACAATTTAATATTCTGCTATCCAATTAAGATTTTAATTCAGGCAAAATTCATAAATATATAATCACAGTGTGAAAAAGATATATTAGTTAAACTGGCAGTTTACTAAGCAATTATTTAAGTCCAACAACACAGTTTTCTATAACAAGGTTTCTGATTTTCAGAAAGCACCCAACTACCTAATCTCCCCCATCTGGACTTTGAATACGTGATCTTGATAAGTTACTTGCAACCTGGCAACTGGGAAAATATATGCTCTGGTTTTAAAATTATACTATATATTTTCCAAATACAGCAGTTGCTAAGTAAACAGTGTTTTCTTTTTAAATGCCGTCTTCTTTATCTTCAAAAAGCTAATGTTTTCTATAACATCCATTCCTTACAATTTGTTATTGAATAATTTTCAACGAGAAAATATGACATTTTAGAGCACACATTAATTCCCATGATATCAGTCCTATTTTGAAGATTAGGAAATTTGGTGAGGACCTAATGAAAAATCTTTGGTACATTATTCATTGGATAAGATGCTACTATTTAACTCATCTCTGCACATATTATGAGCTAAAACTCAATGTTGAAATAGATTGCCTGAAAATATCTTGATTAAATCATAGTGACTAAAATCTAACTCCAAAGTTTAATAAATTTCTTACTGAAAACTGAACATCATAACTATTTGTTTTTATCTACATTTAGTTTTCTTAAAAAGCCTCTTTAGTGCTGTGGCTGGTTTCTTTCTGACTCAACAACAGCATTTTGGGTTCAGATATTCTCAGTAGATATGTCGTTTTTATGAGGAAGTTGTTATTCTGGATATAAATTTGCACATAGTATACTGCATACTTGATTCCCAGAAAAAGATCTACTTCTGTGGAAGCCTTAAAATTCTCAAGTTTAATAAATTATTAAGGTAGAGAAGTAAGTGATTTGCTTTTCAGTGTATTCTTTCTTTGATTCAGTTTGCTGCTTACAACTGATTAGATTAATAGATATTATTTTTATAGTGATCAAAATAACACTCAAGCTTTACTGAACTTAAGGGATGTTAAAGGGACTGATTGATTTAATATTTTAGAATATTGGTAATTATTTACTCTGAGTTATAGCATAGGAAGGAGAAATGAAACAAAAATCTAGACGCCTGAATTCTGGTGATAGTCCTGTGTGAGCTTGGGCAAGTTGTTTAACTTCTCTGGGCTTCAGTTTTCTTACCTCTGTTATTAAGCAATTGCTTATATCCCACCCAATAAAAATTATATCTGATTAAAACTTCAATTCAATGTTACTGAAATAAAAAAAATGTTTAAAAAATGAAAAAAATCTTTTAGCCATTTAAGAAAAGAAAAAAATCATTAAAGAATATTTAAAAAGAACTATTCAACCGAGGAAACCTGCCATATTCTTCTATACTGTAAAGTTGGCCCACGTTGTTCTGTGCCTTTGTGGTAGGCAGCCTCTAATACCCAGATGATGCCCACCCCTGGTATCGATGCCCTTGCATGATGCCCTCCTCTTGAGTGGGCTGGACCTAGGTATTCACTTCTAGTAAATAGAATACGGCAAAAGTGAAAAAAAAACCTCATTAATATAGAGAATAAGTGCTAATGAATTAATTGAACTAATGTATTTTTAAAGATTCCTAAACAGTTGGTAAAACATGCAACTAATGTGGTTTTAAAAAATGATTATGTCAATGAGAGACGTAATATGTTATTACCATACGTTATCTAGTCTTTTCTTCAAAAAAGGAAGGTTTTAGCTATCATTTTTTAATTACTGTCAGTCAGACATCTAAGCACCTACTATGTACACACTTGTGCTGTGGAGATGGGAATGTATAGCTTTCGTGTGTTAATTAAGCTCTGTGAAATATAAAGAAGGTCATTCTTAAAATAAATTATACAATAGTCTTTCCACTTTGTGGAAATAGACACCAAAGCAGCATGTGAACCTGGTCTGAGGGCCTAAGTGTTCAAGGAAGTAAATTAGCAATTATGTAAACAAAATTCCTCCTTTAGTCCTTCTGCTGATTTAATTTTGCAAGACGTACTTATTCTTAAAATGTGGGTTACTAAGAATCCATCTACTTTATTAGTATTTTTTGTAAAAAACAGGAAAGGGTTATGCTATGGGTTATGACTTCAACTCCTTATTTTGGGTTTGCGTACGTGCCGAATAAAGGGCACGTACAGTGTGTTCTTCTGGTGTCCTTTACCATATTTTCAGTCAGGTGCTGCGTTGTAAGATAATGTCGTGCTGACACGTCACCCAGGGAGTTTTCACGTTGTGTCTGTTTCAGCTTCTGACCTGGCGGCCGAGCAGGGGCAGATTCTCGTGATAGCCACGGCCGCGGTCGGCGGATTCACGCTGCTCGTCATTCTCACTTTGTTCTTCTTGATCACCGGGAGGTAACTGAAGCATCCCGGCTTGCTGCCGAGACTTGTGAATAGCTGTTCTTTTATGCACTCTGTTCAAACGCGTTCACGTGTCACAAGGCACACCTGCGAGAAGCACCGGGCGGCTTCCGCTCTGACAGTGAGCTTCAGGCGGCACCAGAAACTCCAGGCCGCCTCTCTGGGCCGCGGAGCGTGGCTGCTCTGCGGCAACCAAACACTCCATAAAACACTCGGAAAGCTGCGAATGATACATTCCTACTGAATAAGTGCCTGCCGCGCTTTCCCTTTACTACCGTCATGTTACACCATGAAAGGGATTTTTCCTGGAAAAAAAATAATTCAAGAGAGACTGAGCAATTTATATAAAAGTTCTTTATAAACTTAGTGTTACAGAAATGTGTTATTTTTATTCATTAAATATTGAAGGCATCTACATTAGAATTATATTAATTGGTTTTATAAATCCAGTATTTCTCTACATTAGAGTAATGTGGATGAAAATTTAGAGTAGCAATAAATTTAATGTAGCAAAAGACCTCGACTTGGATCCTGACCGGCTAGTCAAAGTGCTTCACCCTCCAAACCTTAGACTGCAGTTTTTACACGGGTTTGGTATGACAATGCATTGAAATAATGTATTGATTTTTAAATATATCGGATTGTTACCATGAGCCAGGTACTCACAATATAGAAAGGTGTGAATGAAGATAATATGTATGAAATTATTTCCAAGAGTATTTCTTATTTAAAGCTTGATGTTTGACCCAGGCTTTGGTGGGAAATCATGAATATCCTCAAATCATATTTTCATTCCTGCAAGAGGAAAAAATATTCCTTCTAGGTTATTAATAGGGGCACAAAAGAATACATCGAGAGTTTTCTTGATAATCTGAAACACACACATTCCGTAAAATACCAGTGTCGTGATTTAAACTGTAGTAAAAGTGCCAGCCAAATAGTGCACACCCATGCTCGCTTCCTGAAGTGCGCCGCCTCTGCTGGGAACGCTGACAGTCAACAAGGAGCAGGAGCAAACAGCCACCGCCAGAGGCAGGGGTTCAGTGAACTATGGACATCCTTTGTTTGATTTATTTTAAAACTCTACTTCCATACTAATATTTTATTTAAACTCATTATAGAATTACAGAGGATATGCATTATGAAAAATTATCTACAATTCTGACAGCAGATCAAATGTATAGATCAATAAATTGACAACTCATTGGAAGACACGTATCAAGTGTGGGTCCCTGACAAAATGTAACAGCTCCCTATGAAGTGTGTATCGTATTTAATTGGAGCAAACCCACTTTTACAGAACTTATCAAGGATCAAAGAAACACGTGAATATCCTAGTATGGTCAAGTTGAAATGGTGACTTCTTCATGAAACTAATTGTAGAAGGGGCACATGTTTACTTAAAATTTCCATGTATGTAAACAGATATAGTATTGCCCTTGTAATTAATAGAGTGTCTCAGAGTCTCCTCTCTGGGGAGGCTGATTAGCTAATAGAAGAAACTAGCTACAATAATAAGGAAAAAAAAAGATACGAAAGAATGCAGAAAATAATGATAAATTCATCCTAATAAAAAGTGGGAGTCAGGGCAGACCACAGCACCACCATCAGATGTGGTCACCCAGCACTCTCCTCTCTCCCTGTATGCCTCGAGCTAGCCTTGGACAGCTCTTTGCCATCCTCACAGCTTTGGTACAATCATCTTTTATAGCAGACAGAAAAATTCTGGAGACTCCAACCCAACTAACCATTAGTCTGAAAACAAAATATTCAATGCCATAGCCTACAGATACCAAACACGGCCTACAAAGTCCTTAATCGCAGGGACAACTGGTTAATGAAAAAAGAACAAAAAATCTCATATGTGCTGGAGGTGTAAGCTTGTTTGCTAAAAAAAAAAAAAAAAAAAAAAAAAAGGTTAAAGTTCTTAACCTATTAGGACTCTCTTGCGAGAAGAAGGATTGGAAGACGATTATGTCTAGGAAAGGGAGAAAAAGAAAATCTCAGTGGAGGGTTAAACATACAAGCCTGGAAAAAAGAAGGAAAGAAGGGAATAAAGTCACATTGACAATTTGGTTAAGTTAAAGTCAAAATGCCATACTTCATGGGCTGCTACATGTTTAGCAATGCTTATTAGAAAAGTGTTGAGCAGAAGAATAATCTCCACTATATTTTCATTGCCATTTCTAATGTAAGTGCTGCCCATGCATTGTGCATTTGGGGCTCCGACGTCTGGATAACACTCTGTTTATCATGGAGTGCACAAGTTAAAGACAATCAGTTTGGAGCCCAGAAGATTATTCAGTTATTCAAATGTGATGGGCTCCTATAGGCTGATCTTAACTCCAAAGACGCAAATGGTATCATGTGAAGTAGACCTTGATAATTAGATAGGATGGCTAATTTGATTCAGAAAGGTTCTTATTTTCCTATGAAAGTTCCTTTGAAGAAGTTTGGGGTACTTTCTTAAGTATGATTTTATTTAAGTAGCAGTATCATATTTATCCCCAATTTTCAAAAATGCCTGTAATTTCATAATAGAAATTGACTTAAATGATATTTTATTTTAGTGATTCTTCTCTACAGAGCAAAATTGAGCAACACAGAGCACATACACATGGGAAAAGCATTTCATTAAAAGAGAAAATATTGCCTCAGCACATAAATATGGCAAACTTAAAAGAAGGAATTACAGTCGTTGTAGGCTAAATAAGTTTGGCCAAATAAACTTGAGAGATGGGCTCAAATGTTATCCTTACTTGGAATTCCTGAAGCAGATTTTGAATATCACTTAAAAAGAGAATTTAATGATGAAGAAAAATTTGTACTAAATTATTTTCAGCTTTCAATTTCCATGTTTGCCAATTTATATAACAGCAGAAACTGCTTTAACATCCTACGCACTAGAGAAAACAATTTCAATTACATAAGATAACAAAACTTTCATTCTGAAATATTTCTTAAGCTTTTTGGTAGGGAAGCATTCTTGGAAATTATTCTATGAAAACTCTAAGAGATTTCTGAATGAATACTCAATTTGCCGTAGGTTTTGAGGCAAAATTCACATTGGAAGATTGAACTGAGTACCACAGATGTACTCTATTTAACTATTTGGAATTAGCAGTTTGATGGACTGTCAAATCGTATGGATGTTGATGGATTTATTCATGTTGAAGAAGTCGTGGGAGATAAGCACCTGCCTCTGTTCTTTAGAGCACCATTATCCCGGGAACAGAATATGCCGCTACCGCATTTCTGATATTAAAAAAATCATGCTGCTTAGCACTGCAACTGAAAGACAGTTGTCTAAATTTCTGAGATTCTGACTCAAAAATATTTTTTCTTTTTGGCTTTTAATGCATTTCTCCAATTCTAGCTATTAGAAGCCATATAAGGAACCAGCCATGATGGTTATTGCAAATTATAAAATATTTTCTAAGATTCCTATCATTTGGATCAAATAACCCACTTGAGAGTATTTTATCTGGGGCTAATTTTGATTGTACAAAAAACCTTGTATGGGGCTGGCCCCGTGGCCGAGTGGTTCGCGCGCTCCGCTGCAGGCGGCCCAGTGTTCCATTGGTTCAAATCCTGGGCACGGACACGGCACTGCTCATCAAACCACGCTGAGGCAGCGTCCCACATGCCACAACTAGAAGGACCCACAACGAAGAATATACAACTATGTACCGGAGGGGCCTTGGGGAGAAAAAGGAAAAAAAAAAAAAACCTTGTATGGAGTATTTTCACATGTTATAAAGGTGTTCTTAAAAGTGGTCTTCATGATAAAAACTTTGCCCATGGGTCTATGTATTTTAATTGATTTTGGTTCTTATCTAGCATCATTCTTAAAATAAGATTCTATTTTCCTTTTTAAAAGGTGCCAATGGTACATAAAGGCCAAAATGAAGTCAGAAGAGAAGAGAAGAAACCACTTACAGAATGGGCATTGTAAGTAAGATGGTGGCTCCCTTCCCTTGTTTTATGTTGTTCCAGCACTTCAGGAGTTCATTTTAAAATTGTATTCGTTGAGTTGAGAAACTCCAAAAGAGTCACTTCCAACCTTTCAGCATTAAGACTTTTCATCTGGTTTCCAGGTTTGTTGGTGGAAATTGCACCTGCTTCTCATTAAATGATATTACCTTTTTCCTAATTCTACTTGCTGGAAAACAGGACAGACTGAATATGCTAAAAATACAAGATGACTGATCATGTCTAGTTATTTACCTCTCACAATGGCTCCAAACGTGAGTTGGTTTTATTTAGTGGAGCATTAGCCATAGAAATATTAAGCAATCTTTATTCCTTCTCATGGGGACTGTCATTTAAACATATAACAAATCAATTTACAATTCATTAACACTAAAAAAGAAAATCAGCTCTTTAACTCTTAGAATATGTATGAAACCCTTGAGCTGACTACAAGGTTATATTCGTTTGAAGGATCTCTTCCCAAGCAAGCTATAATTACCACTATAGTTGGTTTGATAATTGCCACCCTCTCCTCCCCACGCCCACCTCCACCTCTACCTCCAAATGGCAGATGACTTTGTCAAGACAGTTTCTCTGTCCTGAGACGCTGAACTAACAAGAAAGGGGTGTTCTCTGATTAACCAAAGCACGGAGATCATATGTGAGGCAAGTGTTTAACTGTTTAAACTCATCTTCCACTTCAACTTAAGGAAAGGAATAAGAGACTTTTTGATCTATAGCACCCTCCAGGGGAGGGAAAGAATTTAACTGAGGAGATTATAAACTAGAAGGAGGGTTTAGGGCTGTTTCTAAGGCTCACATGATGTCTCAAAGAATGGTCCAAGGACCCTCTGCATCAGAATGTTGCGCCCTTGCTCACCAGAGTTCTGACTCAGAAGGTCGAAGGCAGGCCAGGACTTGGCGTTCTTCACAAGCTCTCCCAGGCTGTTGCTGCACAGTCAGTCTGAGGCTCCCTGTGCTGGCAGAGGAGGGAGAGCTGAGACAGCCGGCACCAGGATGGGAGGACCTGGAAAAGCTGTAAACAGATGCAGAGACCTGGATCCAGACAGCTGGACAGATGGCTTATGCTGGGCAACCTTAAGATTCACTATGGGGCGTTTAGTACTGAAATGCAGAGGAAAAAGATGCTCCTGAGGTATTTATTGTCTGTCTTCCAGCTAGCACTTTAGCATAAACTAAACCAGATGGGCCCAGCAAGAAGCAATGAAAATAACCGGAGGCAGCCAAGGAAGTGGAAGAAGATAACAAACCAGTGCTGAAGAAGGCAGGGATAAGTTAAATAAGGAGCCAGGTGTTCAAGACTGGAACTAGGTCTCAGTTGTTTTTCCCCTACTACATATTTGTTTATGAGGAAAAGAAAGTGACATTAACTGATTGATTTATTCTGCAGAAATGTGTATCACCTTAAGTGATTGAGTGGTTGAATTGTTAAGACCATGTATGATTTAATAAATGAAACCTGTTATCTGTGCCTACAGGAACGTTGTCAATGTGACCATATGTCCTATTAGATACCACTAGTCACCTAGCCTTAATCACTAGATTTGAGTTTATCTTATTCAATCCAAAATCACAATTCCTACAAAGTTACAAAATATGATATAGAGTATGAACTAGAGGCACCAATTCTCTCTTCTCCTTTCCTCCAGTCTAAATTTAAGGAAGTCAAGAAAAGCAGAGCATTTCAGAATCATTGTCAGGTCTAAGTTTGCCTAGAAATAGGCTTTATTGCTGCTGTTCTGAGAAGTCCTATCTTCTCGTGGGTGAGTACCCCATCCTAGAAGGCAGCAGGCAAACAGTAATAAGAGAGGGTGGCAGACAGAGTCCTCACGAAGCAAGCAACTGCTAATAATGGGCCTTTCAGCTCCTCCTCTAAACTTGCCTTACCATCTTTTGTTTGCTTGCTTTTGAGATTTTCTTGCAAGAGCATGTTTCTAAGAGATCTAGACCACACTTAACTCAGGATGTTGTACGGCTTTCAAAATCTAGGAAGCAACAAACTAAGTATCATCCATATTGCCACAAATTTGCATTGATCTTTTAATTCCTGCTAATTTATATTCAATAAAGGTTTGCTGTGTTCTTATTACCTGTAAAACCATAGCTAAGGTATTTGGAAAAATGCAAAGATGCATAAGAAATGGTCTCCTGTCCTCCAGGAGCTAGCAATCTAAGGTGGAAAGCAGAAACCGGTGAGTAGAACAGGGGACTGCCGTGGCAGTCGGTGACTTCTTCAGAAACTGAGGAAGTGCAAATGAACAGGCAACCACACCTTCCCGGTTTTCAGCCGCCCCTGTTCCTCATCCTAACTGCCAGAGGTCTGTGAGCACCACCCCCAACCAAGAAAGAGGAGCATCTACACAGCCAAGGACAGATATGGGCCTTTGAATGCCACCCTTCCCTTCAGGATAGACAAGGGGTCCTCTCCAGGAGCAGGTGCAGACTGGCAGTGGAAGCAGCTACAGGAACACAGGAAATGGCCATGATCCTTAGTGTTGCTCCCTGTCATTGTGTGGCAACTGTCCTTTACTGCCAGAGTTTCTGGAAAGGGAGAGACCACAGGACTGGGGCGGAGGTTCAGGAAAACCCAGTGCCCTAGAGTCTGAAGGATCCAGGAAGGAATCTAGGAGCTTGTTCTGGGGAAAGGCTTCTGCTCGTTTGCCCCCTGCCCTGACCACGCCCCGACCACTCCCTGAGCTAGATCAGACATGGAATACGTGGGTGGTGGTGGCTAAGTGAGCTGATTAAACTTTTTACAGAAATATAATAACAGTGTGTGTTCTGGAACCTGTCAGCTCACTCTTTAGGAAACTGCCAGTTCATTTTACATCAAAAGCTAGGTAATAAAATTTTGATTCCAAGTATTCAAATCTTTAATGGGGCAGGGGCAGGGGGATGGGACAAGAAGAGAAGAGAGAATTGAATTTAAGTAATTACCAGGAATGACTACTTCAGTACATCATCACTCCTCATTTTAAATATTCATAAGACATGTGATTACTAAAATACTCCAGCTAATTCAGCCTTTTCTGTTGTTGCAGTACGCTTCCCAGGAGTTAAAACTTACATAGATCCAGATACATACGAAGACCCATCCCTCGCAGTCCATGAATTTGCCAAGGAGATTGATCCCTCAAGGATTCGCATTGAGAGAGTCATTGGGGCAGGTAACGGAAAACCTACACTTTTGAAGATATAATTCCTTAATGGTTTTGTAACTGGTTTATTGACATGATGTTTTTAAATCTTACCGGTTTTAGTCGTTGAAAACATATAAGAAATGAGAAGTAGAATTATCATATGTATGTTTTATTTTTTAGGAAGCGTTCTAAGCACCCATATTCAGTTTCTAAACAATGGGAAAAAGCCACAAAAGTTATTTTTAACATCCTATAGTCTTCTTTCGGTATGAAGATAAATTACAATGAAACTAGAGATTTAGGAAATTATTTTGAAAATACACTTTCAGGAATCTGTCCTTGATTATTACAGATTTACTCAAGACCAGCATTTATAGACATATACTATAATTAGTATTCGTATTGATGACATTGAGGCTCTGCCAGATTCAGTAGTGTTCTGAGAATCATTGAGGATAAAGTTAGTTTCCATATGACTTTATATAATTGTAATGAAAATTATAATTTTCCCTATGTAGAATGTTTAAACACTCAGAACATTATATTATTCAACTATTCTGGGTAAATTCAAATTTATTGTGAATCAGCCCTCAAGAGTTTATTCTGCATTACTAAGAGCAGAGGCTAAGCGGATGTAACAAGGAGGCCCCTGAGTGTTGATTCCTCTTTCCCATCTTTGACCCCAGGCGAATAGTCCACGCGGGCAGAGTAGCTGTCATTCAGGAGGCCTTGCAAGGAGCTGAGCTCCTTTGACTCTTTGCTCTGCCTTCCCCTAGCGTGTCATCCTCAGGATGGTCAAAGCTGGGTCACCAGCACATCTACCTTCCAGCCTGTGAGACGAAGGAAAGAGTTCAATCTCAAGTCAAAATTAACCTGGAAATTACAAACATATCTATTTGCGCCTCAGTGGTCCAAATATAATCATGTGGACACACTTAAATGCAGGAGAGTTTGGAAATATAATCTCTGACCAGGCAGCTGTGCAGGCAGCTGACAAGGGGAAGGGAGGTATTAGTAAACAGAGAAGGGAGACTGCAGCCTGAAGGAGCATTGATCTCCTCTAGGCGCTGGATACCTGTGTAATCCTTTGGAGAGAGTAGAACACGGCAAAGCATGACAGTTCCAGCCAGGTGGTGTGTCTTTGCCAAGGCCAAAGAAAGTACCTGATTCTCCTTCGTCCGTTTCAAAGCCCTTCTTCGCCCGAAGGACCAGGTACATAATTTGCAGGGACCGGTGCAAAAATAGAAATGTAGAGTCCCTTGTTAAAACATTATAGAGAATTTCAGGACAGTGACCACAGAGCGTTAAACAAACGCAGGGCCGTCTGAACCCAAGGTTCTGTGTGAAGCTGCCACCCAGGAAGCTGACTCTGTCTCCCAGGTACACAGAGAACTAGCACTATTTCAGGAATTCCAGGGACCTCTGGAGACAGTCCTTCCTTCCAGCTCCTCATTCCCTCTCCCCAGCGGATCATTTCAGCTCCCGCCAGGCCAGGCCTCCCTCTGAAAGCTGACGCAAGAGTCCGGAACGCCTGATCCTAATGCTCGTGGCCGAAGAGCTGTTTGATCAGAAAGAGTAAGAACCTAGGGTGAAACCAGACTCTCCGTCCTCCTCTGCTGAGCAGGAAGCACACCAACAGCAGTGAAGGCAGACTGAAAGAGCGATGGTGTTATATCCATTTAGTTTAGGGGTTCGTTTTGTTAAGACAGCAGAAGAATAGAGAAGAGAGGAGGCTGGATAATTCCATTGCCCCTGTATTTGGCTTTCTTCCTCTGGCCGTGAGAAACGGTCGGGCGTCCTCTGACACTGCAGTGCTCGATACTCACGTAGTTGCAACAGAAGCATTTTCTGTCTCACCACTTTGTGCATAAATTAAATGCCAATATCTGAAATCATAATGTTGAGAGATAAAATCAAGTATCTGACATGTAAACAAAGAAAAAAAGAAATCCAATTTTTCTGTAGTTTTTGTATTTTTTTAACCAAAATATAAATTTTGCCTGAAAAATATATAACAGATATTGCCAAAGCAAACCATAGCTATTAAGGAGACTATTTTAATATCCTATTCCTCCTGCTTTGTCTAAATTCTAGCAAGTCATAATGGGATTCCTCTCATTTGGCAAATACAAAATATCTAAACTATGTAGTCAAGCTGTACCTCAGTGTCTTTTTTTTTTTATATTTATTCTCTTTGACTATTTCAACTTTCAAATATGCTGAATGTCCTTCTACTGTCTGTTTTCAGAAAAATCACAGAAATAGAAATGCTTATGAGACAAAGCTATTGTGAAATAACTTTCCTCCTTGTGCCCTGGCCAGTACTGCTGAGTTGGTTAGCTCCATTAGGTCAGGTTCCTAAAATTCTGTTTGCATGTAGGAAAAAACTGGTGACTGTGTGGACATTTCCCACAGCAGCAGTGTGGAGAAAGCATTTTTCAGTCAAACTAAAGAATTAATAGAGTTGTGTAGTATCTATGGCATCCTTGCACAACTGGTTACTTGCCCAACTTGTTAGTGTAAATACTTTCCTTAGGTTGTCTCATATCCTTTACTTTTTCCCCACCTGTTTGATTGTTTCTTCTCAGACTCCGTTTCCTCATCAGCTGTGTACATTAGGTGAAGTGTAAAGTAATTGGCCCAGTGGCGGTGTAGATGCTGGACAGAGGTGGGGTGGAGTTGGGGCAATGGGAGAGAGAGACAATATATGAGGCTTCAATCCTTGTCAGGTCTGATTAAGATGTTGAGAGTCACGATAGAGAGGGGTACCTAAATTCTCAATTCATTGCTGAGGAAAAATCCACAGACCTGCATGATTTTTGGTGAGGAAATAGTTAAGAATGGCTTCCAGGTTTCTAGTTGGGAAAAACAATATGTAATCAGTAAATATTTCTTAAATGTGTTATTAAAAAATGAACCCCAAAATAGCCACATTAAAATTTTAAGAAAGAAAAGAGCATAGAAAATGATATCACGCCTAACCCAGGACATTTCTTAATACATTCACTGAAAAATGTTTATTACATGGCTGCTATCTACTTATAGAAAGGTACCATGCTATTTCGTTTTTTCGTATTAAGTCACTCTGCTTATTAAAGACATACATATTCAACCTGTCTTCCACAACCTTTGTCCTGGGATTTTCAACTTTATAACCATCCAAATATTACATGACAGATCCTTAGAAAATTTAATATATCTCTTAAAATGTATATTTTATATATACTCTTAAAATTCTCTATTTTTCACTGTAAATTTTACTGTTTTTTAAATGAGTTTTCTAGGACACGTTTTTTTGTATATCCCTATTCTGTTTAATAGTGGCAGCTCATCTTTGTTCATCAATACAGGCCTGAATTTCCATGAAAATGCACATTTCCATTTAAATGAAGTGAGCAGCTCTCTTGCATAGGAGACTATCAAGATCATCCATCTCCTTTGGCTTTTTGCATCATAAAATGAAATCCCATGGCCAGAGGACTGTGGAAAAGAAATTCTCAGGCGAAAAGAGCCAAGTCAGATTAGGGTAGAATCATTATTTCACATGTATCTTGAGAGATAATGAGCAAACTGGTAAACTGCGTTTTAATCCTGGGCTAGGAAAGGTCACTGAAAGACTACCCTTGTTTCAGGGCGGTGCTGAACCGAAACCGTTATCAGAAAAACTTGCCCAGCAGCGTATCTATAATTTTGAAATATTATTCCATTGAAAAAAATCATTCTTGTGTCTCTAAATCCAAGGGCACCTTCTTATGCCCGACCTTCCCTCTTTCCCTAGTCTCATGGAAATGCACAGCGTCTCCCCGTCGCTTATATTCCATCCCTTTATCTTTACAAAACTCATTATTGCCTCCACTGTCAGCCTGCTCTTCTGTTAGGTTAGTGTCACTGCATTTCTTCTCTTCAGAGAATAGTCAGGAAGTTTTAACTGTTGGTTTCTCAGCAGTCATCGGCAGGTAGAAGAAAGTCAGAAGGACCACAAAAAGGTTATAAAAAGTGCGTGTCAAACTAGCAATTTATGCAGGTTATTTGGCTCCATTCTTGCACCCCCATTTAGGTCGTTTAGCTCCTGGTTACACACGAAGCTGTGCAGGGAAAAACGCTCACTCTGTGCTCCTCTCCTGACTTCCCCATCCCCCAGCCAGCTTCTCCTCTCTACTCCAGGATCCATTACTTTTCGTTGTCTTAAAGAAACTGTCTCACCCCCTTTATTATTTCGGTTCCTCTCCTACAGATGATTTTATCAGCTGACTGTCTTGCAAGATTACTGTAAGGATTAGACATGACACATACTGAGGGTCTGCCATACCACAGGCATTCAGTGAGAGGGTGGGGACGCGACTGTCAGGCTGAAAGTAAAAGCAGTTTTTATATTTAGTTGAGATGGCTGAGAAGAATGACTCTCCATGTCCAGCCCTCAAAATACTTTATGACATGAATATCTGCCCATGTAGAATTAAAAAGTCAATGCCTTCAGTAACTTAGGGATATCTATGGTTTTCAGAGTTAGTTCAAAGTTAGTAATTAAAAATTGTTTCATTTTTGTCAGTACATTGAGCTATACCCATATCAACAAATTCTTTTCTTTTTTATTTTTAAACAAAGTCAAAACTTACTTTCCCCTATGTCTTATGAGGTTTGATTTATTATATATGTGTTTATTTTTTCTTTAAACTTAACAAGCCGTGTGATGAAATCAATTTAAAACTAGAAAATTCATTTCAATATCTTAATATAAAGTTATTGTAAATTATCTCACGTATGCATTTCTCAATCTTACAAGCTGCCTCATCATTTAGTTATTTGATAAATACTTATTTAATAAATGAGTAAATAAATGAATAACTGAAAGCATATAGAATTATTTATAAGTAATTATTTTAAATGACTGTCTGGTTATCAACAGAAATCTTCTGTGGAGTATAAGTTAAAGTACAACTCAATTAAAAGAATATGAAATCCAATGCATAATTTATACAAAATAAAAATGACAGAAGAGCAAATCTATAGAAGACAATTGTGAATTA